CATGTCCTTGATACACTTCTTCACAGTATTGCGTCGTCGTACTTACATCGACTAATATTTTTGTGAACTTTTCCGCGAAAAAAAAACGCTTACCTATTGTTTTATTTATTAATTTTTGTGTAATTAGGATAGTAATTAGATTATGGTACTGCGATAAAGACGCTTTGTTATGTTTTCGTTTTCTAATCTAATATGTACGTTTACATCTCTTGCGATACGGACGATTTTATTTGTGTTATTAGTGCTTGTGTAAACTTGTGATCGTAATGGCAAATACACATCCGAACTACACAGCAGCTGAATATGCGGACATGATCCTAATTTACAGAGAATGTTTTCAAAATGCCGCCCTTGCGATAAGGACATATAGTGAGATATATCACAATGCGCTATTCACCCTCGCTCTAATGTAGGAGCTCTTTACCGGCCTACTATTATAGGTCTTAAGGCCCTGATCGACATGAAAATGTGATACAATATTTCGAAGACCAACTGAAAAACAGCCTTCGCCAGTGCGCTAGGTACTTTCAAGTCCATCACAGAACCGTCCATAGGATATTAAAGCGCGAAAAGTGGTACCCATTCAAGTTTAGAAAAGTACATACACTGCTATCGCGTGATAAATTAATAAGAATGAATTATTGACAAATTTGTTGGATAATGATTTCTTATATTTACGCGAACACTACACATTATTAAATAAAACTAATTTTACGGATTTTATCGCGTATATTGACTTATTTTTATATTCCCGACGTTTCGGGTGCTTTCCAGCACCCGTGGTCACGGGGGACTGAGGACTGAGGTGTTTGACGTCCTGCTGTCATAGTTAGCCCGGCTACCTTTAGTTTTTTAATATTAATTTTTGGTTCGATTTACGCAGAATGAGCTTACAGTATCTTGAAGTCTAGCAGTGGTATACTTGGGTTTGGATTTGATTTTATTAATTATGGGATCCCAAGCAGATGGCAGCACCCATCTATTTTCTCTATTGAAATTAGGATGTTTTTTAATTTCAATAGCCTCGCGAATCATCCTTGGGAGGAATCGGTGTTCCTTTGCGAGGATTTGTGGTCTATCAAATCTAATGTAATGGCGGGGACGATCTTGAACATGTTCACAAACTGCAGACTTCCCGATACATCGGTGCTTCACGTCAGCTATATGTTCTTTAACGCGGGTTTTAATAGATCTTTTTGTTGTCCTATGTATGAGAGACCACATTCACAATCCAGCTTGTACACTCCTGCATCTTGTAGAGGGATATGACACTTGACGGATGGTAAAAATTGACCAATCTTCTTCAGCGGCTTGAAGTATGTTTTAATGGAAGCTCGCTTCAAGATGTAGCCAACCTTGTCTGTGACTCCTCTGACATAGGTTAGTACAGCAGGCATACGCTCGACTGTGGCTGGCTTCACTCGGTCACTGTGACGTAGGCGCGGGACCCGAAGCTTGTTGTCTTGCAGTACTTGCTCGACGTGCTGAAGCTCGGTGGCCAGATGTTTTCTGTCACAGATCCCTCGTGCTCTCTGAAACAAAGATTTTCCCACGGTAGCTAACTGTGAAGGATGATGGTGAGATTCACCATTTAAATATCGGTTGGTATGGGTATTTTTTCTGTACACAGTATGACCAATAGTGTTATCAGGATTTCGAATGAATAAAACATCTAGGAAAGCTAAAGTATTGTTTGCCTCTAACTCCATTGTGAATTGTATTTTAGGGTTTATGGAATTAAGGTGGTTTAAAATGCAGTTACTTTGTCAGATGGTAAAATTGTGAAAGTATCGTCTACGTACCGCTTGTAGAATCTTAGATTTACAGGAGCAGTAAGAAGGGCTTTCTCCTCAAAGTCCTCCATGAATATGTCGGCGACTACGGGAGATACAGGTGAGCCCATTGCCACTCCGTCTACTTGCATGTAGAACTCTTCTTTCCACAATAAATAGCCAGATGTGAGGCAGTGTTTGAGTAATATATATATTCTGTGGGCATGTTGTTATCTTCTAGCTTTCTAGTAACAATTGAGATGCAGGAGTGTACAAGCTGGATTGTGAATGTGGTCTCTCATACATAGGACAAACAAAAAGATCTATTAAAACCCGCGTTAAAGAACATATAGCTGACGTGAAGCACCGACGTATCGGGAAGTTTGCAGTTTGTGAACATGTTCAAGATCGTCCCCGCCATTTCATTAGATTTGATAGACCACAAATCCTCGCAAAAGAACACCGATTCCTCCCAAGGATGATTCGCGAGGCTATTGAAATTAAAAAACATCCTAATTTCAATAGAGAAGATGGATGGGTGCTGCCATCTGCTTGGGATCCCATAATTAATAAAATCAAATCCAAACCCAAGTATACCACTGCTAGACTTCAAGATACTGTAAGCTCATTCTGCGTAAATCGAACCAAAAATTAATATTAAAAAACTGAAGGTAGCCGGGCTAACTATGACAGCAGGACTTCAAACACCTCAGTCTCCCGTGACCACGGGTGCTGGGAAGCACCCGAAACGTCGGAAATATAAAAATAAGTTAATATACCCGATAAAATCCGTAAAATTAGTTTTATTTAAAAATTTGTTGGACTGACGAAAGCAGTTTGGGCAGCTATTCACGGTGACAACATCATCGGACCCGTATTCATCATTCGATGGGACTTTGAACGGAGAAAGGTTTGTTAATGATACGATGTCATTATACACAAACAACCTAAACGTCCAACGATACCAACGAATGTGGTACCAATTAGATGGCGCGCCAGTACACTCTGTAACAACAGCCAGGCAGTGGCTAAATGACAATGGTTTGGTTGCACATTTGGTGCACAATGGTTTGGTAGATTTGGACCTCACGCCACTCGATTTTATTTCTGAGGGTGCACCAAAGACAATGTGTACGCGGAGAACGTAGATTCGGAATAATTACGCCATCGAATAATAAATGCGTTTCAGAAATTAACCGATTCGTTGCGGCACCAATTTTTGACAACTTTTAGCTGTGGCGCCGAACAAATATTCCATGACACGCTTGTCGTGAAGAAGAAGTTAATGACACGCCTATTGTGCCATCAGCCCTGCGTAAAAGTAATGTTCTTTTTTATGCTTTTTTACTTGTACCTGATTAAGTTTAGTTGACATCAAACATCAGTTGCAAACGGAAGGATACTTATTTTTAGTGGCTAACAAAGTGTTTTCTACATGTGTTCCTTGAAATGGAGATTGACTTTTTTATGCAGAGATTGCAAACATTTTGTACTATTTTTTGTTTTATAAAAAAATCATTTATATAAGTAGGTACAGCTAAATCACCCTGAAAACCCCTGGTTTTTATTAAATTAAATTCAAATCACATAAAATCAAATCACAGAGGCCAGGAATACAACACACAGTAGTCACAAATGCAGAATCAGAGTCCAGTACACACGCGAATATCGTCGGAAAGGTCTACAGTATGAAAAGTAAAGTCGCTCTGAAAACGTCTAATTAGTAAGAATAGCAAAACAAAAGTGTTTTCAAAGGAATGCACCGGCGCAGTATGGCGGCTTATGAACAAAAGACTCTATTTATTAGCGAACTTTTTTTATGCGTGAACGTGTTCGAACAATTTCAAGCAAAAATAAACCTTATACCATATCACAAGAGCACATGGTACTTCGTAGGTCCATTCGGCCAAATGATAGTAATAAGACGGCAGTTCAACAATTTTAAGCAAAATTAAACAATAAGACAAACGCATTGTTTTTTTTAACGGAAGACTTGTTTTCCAGAAACTTGTTTACAACTTGAGTTTGTGAGCGATCGTAATGAGTGTTATTATTTGTTTCTTATTAGAGTATTTTTCCATAACATGTTTTAAAAACCCACTAAGTAAAAAGAGTACAAGTTAAAAAAAGGTTGTCAACCCCTAAAAATTTCAAATTCTCAAAATATCCAAACGAAGCCGTAGGCAAGAATTACTTGCAAAATAATGAATATTTTGTTTTGGACCAATTTTCCAAAAACGCAATTTCAGCGAGTTATAACGATTTTTAAAATGACACAACTCGCGTGTCATACGCCACACAGGAAAAATAATCGATGGTACGCCTGGTGTGCCAGTCGCACTGAACCGGTTAAGGGAAGTGCCTATGTGACAGTTTATTTCAAATGTGCGGGAGAGCCCTTTGTATCCGCCCACAAGGTGGTCTCATTGGTAAAAAGAAAATTTAAAATAAAGACAAAAAAAGCAGTGATTAGTGATGACAGTTATAACTAATAGTAACAAGAGAGGGTGATATGATAAGTGTTTGACTAAGCACCTCCGGTGCCGCTCGGTTTCTTTGATAATAAATTGTCACAGAATCGGACCGACCACGAGTAGGTACAACAAGACGCGTTGCGCGGTTGCCAGCGCGCGTAGCGACGCGTTGCCACTCCGAGTTAACATAAGCCAGCCATGTAAGTAATTTCATGAATTAATTTTTGCAAGGTGATCCCAATTTTAGTTACTTCTTTATTATTTAGTTTGTATGAAATTTTTTTTTTAATTTACGAGTTATTTTAACCTATCAATATTTTAACCATTAATATGATTAATGGGCACTAGCCCTACCCGTGTATTAAATTAAAGTCACCATTGTAGTGGCCACCATAGATAAATATATATGTAGCAAGCTAGTGGCCACTTTAAGGTTTAAAATTCATAAAAAAATAGTGATTTTATGCTTTTTGGCTAAAGACCTTGTAACCAACGCAACAAGAAAATCGTTCAAATTGGAGAATTGGGATGTCAATGTCAAAAATGTCAATAATGTTTTCGTTTTTCCAGGTTCATAAAATACATATTTATTGTATATTGTAACTGTTTTATTTGTTAACTATTAAAGCGGGTAGTATTTATTAAGAATCTTATAAAAATATGCTTAAATATTATAAAAGCATTTTTACTTTCTATACTTAATTTTGTAAATTAAGATAACCAAGAAAACAAGAAAAAATTGGATAAAACCGCAATGGCAGTGAGATTTGATGCCGCCGCTTACAGCTTTCGTAAGAAATGCCCCTATGTGAGTAAAGACTTACTTCGCTGGTTCCCAGGCCATATGAACAAGGGTTTAAAGCAAATGCAGCGTAAACTGACATCAGTTGATTGTGTGATTGAAGTTCACGATTCCAGAATACCATTTACGGGGCGAAATCCCATATTTACAAACACATTGACTGGTGCCAAGCCACATATCCTTGTCCTCAATAAGAAAGATCTAACTGTTAGGTCACTAATACCAAAGATTACAGAGCAGTTAAAAACTCATGAAAACATACAAAATGTTGTATTTACGAACAGTAAAGATCAAGATTGTCGTGGCCTTAAGACTCTAAAGCCTTTAATGGTAGAATTGATTAAAAATTCTAACAGATACAATAGAAGTGAAGAATTAGAATACAATGTAATGATTATTGGTGTACCAAATGTAGGTAAATCATCTTTAATCAATATGTTGCGATCAAGGAACATGAGTGTTAAGCATGCTTTGCCAGTTGGTGCAGTGGCAGGAGTAACGCGAAGTCTCATGACAAAAATGAGAATCAATGATGACCCAAAGATTTTTATGTTTGATACTCCAGGTTTGTATTGGTTTAAATGACATTTGCTTAATAAACCACAATAAGTAAATTTGAGATGTCTATCACACCTGCATACAGTGCATCAAAAACCATGTTTTTTTAAAGAATAAGAGTGACAAAAGTGCACACAGTCCACGTGATGGTAAGTGGGTACTGTGGCCCATAGACATAGATCTACATTTATGTTGGATTAAGAATCAAAATACAAATGCATTCACCCCTAAGGACTAAGATAGAATGCCTTGTTTCCACTAAAAAGGGTCTCTAATTCTCTACATTCACCATACAAAACACAGCAGCATTAAGCTGCTATTTTACGATGGTATTCTGTGAGAGCACAGACCTTTCCAAGTTGAGCTGACTCATTTTTGCTACAACCATAAGACAGCTGCAGCGTGGCTCTACCACATTAATTTAAATAAATGCGGCTCTGGTGATAGACATATGGCAAAAAATTTCACAGGCTGGAATTAATTCATAAGCATTTCTATGGTGAGGGTATTGGCTCTTACCAACTAACCTTCCTAACATAAAAGTTAAAAGTAAAATTGCAGCCCTTACCCATCCAGCTGCTAGGCATGGGCATCCTCTTAAATCTGAATGTAATAGAACCATTTTTATGGTACCATAGGAAATTGTATTGATGGATACTCATATTAAAATTTTTCATTCCTTATACATGCCGGTTTCCTTACAATGTTTTCCTTCACCACTGCAGACATGATAAATCAGCATTTAAAATTGCATTTAATAATTACATTTGCACTGTGAAATTTACAGGGATCTCTTTAGCCCTGAGCTAAACTAACTTCTCACCCAAAATATTATGGGCAAACCTTTCACTAAATGATTACCGTCTGGCAGACCAAACTCTAAAGATATACTTAAAAGACCTGTGATGTTGTGAGAAAAGGGCTTTCTTACTGTACTTTTTGGATTAAGTGTCAAACACAAATATTTTTTTTAATTTCTTTATTTAAGACTCAATGATCACACCTTACTGTGAACCTTATACCATGTATTTTATTTTTCCACAATAATGTCCAGGCTTGCAATCACTAATTGTGTTGAATTTCTGCACTGGCAAGTGCTGGTGTGTATGCTAAAGTTTTTAGTTCCGTGTTTGAACACTTCACACTGTCATCTATATGATAATGGGCTGCACTAATTATAAGACAAAGATAATAAGCATTTATTTTTTTTATTTACAGTAGATATATGGATATTTTAGGGTTTTAAACGGTGTAAAGCTCTGTGTGTTCTGGCTACTTTAGTATTGACGAACATAAGTTTATTTTTTCGATACTTGTGTAGCCACAGACATTTGAGTGGCATAGTAAAATGAAATAGATAATTATTATATCATACCCTCCTCTTCAATAACACTAGTTTCTCATTCACTGAGTTGTGACTGAAGTGAAGAAGTATGATATTACCTCATAGCCTCATCATTAAATTTTATTAATCAGTATGCCTTATTACCATATTTTTATAAGCTCGCTTTTGTGTATGTCTATTTGGATGGAACTAACCTTCCAACAAACTAGAGACTTGAAATTTGAAACATAACTCAGAATTGGATGACAATGTAAGAAAAATAAAAAAATGTGCTATTGAAAGAATTTATATCAGAATACTTATTTTTAGTTGTCTTTTCAATAATTATTCAATCTTTTCAGGTATCCTAGAGCCATCTGTAACAGATATAGAAATGGGTCTAAAGCTAGCACTTTGTGCGTCCCTTCAAGATCACTTGGTGGGTGAGGAGACTATTGCAGACTATCTGTTGTATTGGCTGAACAGTCATGCCAAGTTCAAGTATGTCGAGTACATGGGCCTAGAAGAACCTTGTGATGATATACATAAGGTGATTATTAATTTTCATCTTGTTAATGCATTACTATATTGGTTACTTAAACTGTATGGTGCAGTGGTCAGACTTATTTCTGCATATCCACACATTCTGTCAAATCATGCTTGTTTTGTTTCTAATCCCAGTTGAGGCCAACAGTTCTTCTTCTTCTTCTTCCTTTATGGCGGTTACGATGAATTCGCCAATGACATGTTACATGTGAGAAGGTTTAATTAGGACACAAACTCTGCTTAAAAAAGGAAATTGATAATACAAGAAATGGTAACAAACGAATATTATGTGAATGATTTTGGTCAACTTAACTGCTGAATCACCTAAAACAAAAGACAGACAATGTTGTTAGAGTTAATAAAATCACATAAAATATATACATAAGAGGTATTTGTGAAAATTAGAAAGGAGTTAAAGTCTATGGGACGAGGGATGTCAGGGGGCAAATAATCTTAAAGAGATGATGACAATTTGGTGCAGTTAAAAAAAATATGATTAGTGTTTCCCTCATCTAAACCACATTCACACAGAGAACTATTCCTAATCCTGAGTTTAGCTAGGTGAACATAGGTACAGGCATGTCCAATTCTCAACCGGCAGACAATAGAGGTGGCACGTTTGTTTGCTTTATTAAATATGAAAAACCAAGGTCTTGATGGAATATTATCTTGTATAGCAGCATAGTGCTTCCCTTTTAGTACTTGTGATGCTTTCCATATCTCATTCCACGTATTAACAAGCTTTTTCCTAGCAAGTGATAGCAAGTCATGGGAATAAGTAACAATTAGTGGGGTGCCATTTCTAGTAGCCTCTTTGGCACACAAATCTGCTTTATCATTTTCACAAATACCACTATGACTAGGTATCCAGGCTAAACAGATAGAAATCCCTTTAAGATGACACCTATACAGAATGCTTTTATATCCAGAATTAGGGGAAATTTATATTTACTTTGAAATTGGTTAGCCAAAATAGCAGATAAACAACGCTTAGAATCACTAAAGATCACTGTCTTGTCTAGGCTATGTGATTCAACATACAGCAGAGCTTCATGGATTGCAATTGTCTCAGCAGTAAAAATGGAACATAATGAAGGGCACTTAAAGCTAAGGATTATTTTAAACCTGGGGATCCAGACAGCTGCACCAGTGCAGCCATCATCAGTATTTTTGGATGCGTCTGTATACATGGTCATCCAATTTTTCCCTATGGCTTCTTTTAATTTTAAATCTGCTTCAGGAGAACCTTTTCTAATATCTAGGTCAAGGTGAATGTTAGGTTGATATATAATAGCTTTGAAAGGAGTATTAAAGAGTGGACTTGTATTGCATGAGAAAATGAGCCCAGGAATTTGAAGAAATGAGACTAAGCTATTAAATAAATGTGGACAATCTTTATGGAGCCAGTAACTACTTGAAGATAAGAATTCTGAGAGGAGGTGTAACCTGGGAATTAGGGGATGAAAAGAGAGTTGACAGATCTTAAAGAAGAATCTGTCTGAAAGATATTGTCTTCTTATGTTGAGAGGAGGATCTACACACTCTACCTGAAGGGCATTAATTGGGGAAGATTTCATTGCACCAATTATAATGCGGAGACATTTATACTGTATTTTGTCTAAAGTTTTAAGTGACGATTTGTTGCATGGCTCTAAAAGAAAGCATCCATAATCTAAATGACTACGAATTATAGCATTATATAGTAGCTTTTGTGAAAAAGGTTGAGATCCCCACTACACTCCTGAAAGGGAACGATGAATATTTATATTCTTCTCACTCTTTTTAGAAATGTATTCAATGTGTTGTGTAAAGGATAATTTATTATCTAGTACCATACCTAAAAATTTTACCTTGTCCCGAATAGGAATAGGTAAGCCATTATATAAAACTGGAATATTAGGGACATTCTTATGGCGAGTAAAAATCACTATACTGCTTTTGGAAACAGAGAGGGATAGACCATGATCAGTTAACCAGCATTGTAAATATTCCATGGTAGAATTTAACCGGGAATTAGTTGTAGTCAGGTTGTCTGTAGAAATGTATAGGGCTAAATCATTGCATACTGTAGGACATTACAAAATTAATTGACTGCAAGATCTAAATCGAAAATGTAGATAGTATAGAAAATAGGACTGAGGACTGAGCCTTGTGGAAGACCTTTCCAAATATGTCGGGGAGGGAGTAGTGAGTTTTGAAAGTTTATTAAAATAAACCAAGAAGAGAAAAAGTTTGATATATAGCTTACTATCTTCACTGGTATACTCAGCTTCAGCATTTTTTGCCTGAGTACAGGAAGAAGTACATTGTCGTATGCAGATGAAATATCGAGAAAGACTCCAACAAGGTATTCATTTTTAGAAAAAGAAATACGGATGTCAGTTACTAGTGTACTGAGGCTATCCATAGTGCTTAAGCTTTTTCGAAAGCCAAATTGGCTCTTCGGTAAAACATCCTTACTCTCTAGGAACCATTCTAATCGATTTTTTATCAGATGTTTTAGTATCTTTGCCATTGTACACGACAGTGCAATGGGTCTGTAACTTGAAAAGTCTTCACTGGCTTTACCCGGTTTAAGAATAGAAACTATTATTTGGGTCTTCCATTCTTTGTGAGGAATTCCAGAGTCAAAAATGTGGTTCCGAATGTCAAGAAATACAGTTTTAGTTTTTAAACTGCTTTTAATAAGGAATGAGTGAGGACTCCCATCTACTCCTGGAGAGGAGTCCTTAAGACCCTGAAGAACTGTAAATAATTCCTCGTAAGAAAAGGGGGCATCAAATTCATCTTGAGATTGTGTAGAAGGAGAATTAAAAACTAAACATTCAGTGTGTGTGGGCACTGAAGGAGGAACAAGATTAAGTGCAAATTCTTCAAGCCAAATTGAAGGGTCATTGGAAGACACATTCTGTTCAATTGTATTAGAAGCAGTTTCAGCTGCTATTTGTTTATAGGAAATGTAGTTTTCCATGGTCATTGATAAAGAGTATTTTTGTTCACCCTCTTCCTTTTTTTGCAAGCAGATGTGCAATCCTGGTCCCACCAAGGAGGTGAGGCCAAATTGCTTCTGTAGGGTTGTTTTAAAGGAATAGTCTTATTGGCAGAAGATAATAATGTATTTTTGAATTCCGTATAGACTGTATCGAGGAACTGTGGGGAGGAAGAAGTATAGAAGATGTAATTTTTTTTGAGATCAGAATAGAGGAACCAGCATGTCCATCGCTCCTATCATCCCGAAGACATGAATAACCTGAGATCCTAAATTAGGGGTCAGGTCTAAGCCACATCTCCTGAATGGCAAGAACAGATGGACTAAATTTGTTAATAAGAAAGATAAGTTCATTCTTTTTATGTTTGATGCTCCAACAATTCCATTGTAGAATTGTGAATGTTGCTAGTTATTGAAGTAAGCTGAGTAAGTTTATGACGTAAACTGAGGGGAAGTTCTGCGTCACTGATACGGGAAATCATGTTAATTAACATTGATACCATTAGTTCGCAGAAGTTATCATTATTAGAAATGTTGTCATTCCCCAGTAAAGCACACCCATTCGGAAGGGAAGAAGGACGGTTCTCAACAATTGCCTGATGGGCTGGCTTATCATATCCAGAACTTGATGATTGTCTGTAAGTAGATTGAGGAATAAAGATTGTTTTTTTATATGATGTACATTGTGAAGGCTGAGCCGAAGGAGCTGAAATACTGTCATTTTGAGGATAAGGGGTCTGATGAGAAGAATTACGAGGCGGACTTCTTGTTGCGTCAGCAAAGGATCTTCGTACCAGAGGAAATCTAGTTGAAGCTTCTAAATATGATAAATTTTCTTGTGACATAACTAGTTTAATAGATTTTTGCCTTAGATGTTCAGGGCAGGTAGGGTCTTTTGCTGTGTGGGGTCCTGAGCAGAATAGACGAGCAGGAGTTTGCCTAGTACATGATAAACCTTCATGATTCTGTGCACATATAAAGCAGCGAGGGGATGATTGGCACTAAGAAGTAACATGGCCAAATCTGCAACATTTATGACACTGAATGAGTCGCAGAACATATTTTTCTACTGGCATAGAGGTGTAAAAACAGTAAATATGTGGTGGAAGTTTTTGTCCAGAAAAAGTTAGAACTACTGTTTGAGTTATAATCCATGAAACGTTATTGCTGTCACTCACTGATCGTCTATTGAGTCGGCGAGCTTTAAATATAGTACCATATCCAGAGGGAATTTCTATAGCTGCTATTAATTCTTGTAATGTCCACTCTATAGGAACTTGTCTGACTAGCCCCATACGAGTGATATTATATGAAGGGATACATACATAACATACATAAACACTCACGACTGTCACCCAGAGGAGTAGGCAGAGATTATGGACTTCCATTTGGCACGTTCCTGACACACCTCTCTTGCTTCCTCCACATCCATATACCTACGCATACACGCTCGTCGGTTAAAGGTACTCTTGATTTGGCCCATTTTTAATATATCGCCAATTTGGTCGATAAACTTTCGCTTAGGGCGACCCTTCCCGACTATGCCGTTCACCTCTGCAACATAAATTTGCTTTGTCACTCTTTGAATGATATGAAGGGATAGTTGTTTCATATTTAGAAGTCTGAAGAGCTGGGTGATCAATAAATGTGTTTGCATCCGCTGATGTTTTAAACTCAACTGATATCCTGTTTCGTCCAACTTTTTTGACGCCGTCACAAACTATATTTTTAATGTTATTATGATACAGAAAGTGACCGAATTTGATTGGTTTGAAAGTTACTCCGGACACTTGATCATTTGTCGTTTTACTCACGTGAACTAGAAAAGGCGCGGTATCATCTTGAGAGTACTTTACTTTCTTATTAATAAAAGCAGGATGGGTATATGAGGATTGTATTGAAGGAAACTGTTGGTTTGGATCAGTAATAACTATTTTTGGGCATTTTATAGCCTAATTCAGACACCAGCTCCTCACATATATTATACTATGAGTATGAACTTACCTGTATTTAAATAGATATAAGTTTTATTATGTATTGCCTGTTTTTGTGAGGAGAAATAAACATTATTATTATTATTATTATTTTTGTGGATGGGCAGACTCATTGCTTATTTGGGCGCGTTTACGGTTAATAGATTCTACATTATCAACGGGTAAAGTAAAGGAGTCATTGTGAACCCTTTCGCGATCGCGAGGTTCGTCCTCCATTATATTTCTATAACTAAAATTTACATAAAAACGGCACAATTAAAAACACTTACTAATCTACAGAAGTTAAAACCATCACCAAGACAAAAAAATTTACTATAGTGACTCAACAGCACTTAATGTAACAATAAATTTAAGCGAAAAAAAAAACTACGACACTTGTATTCACTCACTTAACCTCAAAGCAAAGTCTGAGGCCAACAGTTATCCAAAAGAAAAACAAATTATTGGGATTGAAATTTCTGATATTATCACATAACATGTTACATCTTATACTGATTTCATTTATATCCATTTTTACTAGTAAGGCTTTTATCCAGCAGTATATTGTTTCAAACAGATGACTGGCAGCATCATCTTCCTGATAACAAATCAAAATAATAAAAAACTATGGTTGCCAACCCGCCTGCTAAGCGTGGCAACTATGGCGAAATGATCTATGAGGCAATCTATAGGGAGGCCTATGTTCAGCAGTGAACTTTTATAGGCTGTTATGAGTAATAGATGGATGGATATTGTTTCACATAATCAAGACCCACTCCTCGGAACAAGAGATTCCTATCACTCCATTTCCTTCCATGGATCTCATAGGAGTTTCTGCGTTTCCATAGATGGCAGTGTAAATCTATACTCTATACATTTGTATAGAATATAGAATAAAATTGAAGTGTCTGTTTGTAATGTCAAAATTACAGCTTTTTACTAAATGCATATGAAAGTATATACGGTTCTTATAACAAATATACAATGTTCAAAGTTTTTGTCTGTCTGTCTGTTTGTTCCGGCTAATCTCCGAAACGGCTGGACCGATTTTGATGGGATTTTCACTGGCAGATAGCTGATGTCACAAGGATTAACTGAGGCTACTTTTATTTTAGAAAAAGAATTAGGGTTCTGCGCAAAAAAATTAAAACTCCAAATAACACGTGGGCGAAGTCGCGGGGAATACCTAGTATCTAAATAACCAGACTGGTGATGTGGTGCAGTATCAAAGTTGCCAGACATCTGGTACTGTGATCATCAATAGTCTTATAAAAGAACTATAAGGTAAATCGTCTCTGCGACGAGAGAGGCCTATGCCGGCGATTCACCTTCACCAGCCTGTAAATGTCCAATGCTGAACTTTTACAGGCTGGAAAAAAGCCGATCCAGTTGACACCAGCCACCTTGATTTCTACCTTAGTCTAATCAGACGTCCTACATTACATTTGTCTGAGAGCGATCATCCCTCTATTACTAATCTCCTCCATCGGTTGGCACTTCTGTGACATTCTTTTTTATTTATTGGTTTATGTACACACAACTAGATACACAAACAGTCATATAGTGATGATTTCTTATATTTACGCGAACACTATACATTCCACACACAGAACGTCAAACACCTCAGTCCCCCGTGACCACGGGTGCTGGAAAGCACCCGAAACGTCGGGAATATAAAAATAAGTTAATATACGCGATAAAATCCGTAAAATTAGTTTTATTTAAAAAAGTCATATAGTGAGTTCGTACAAAAGTTCTACTTATTCTATAATTTCTCCGTTCTTATGTCAATAATTTTAATTTTCTAGTGGATTTCTTTTTTTACTTTTGTTTTATAGGATAAGGTTGACAATCAAGCTCACATATTCCACCTGATTGTAAGTGGTTGCTGTGGCGCATAGACATCTACATCTATCCTCGATTACGAATCAAAATGCAGATGAGTTGTCGCCTGTGAGGACAAATATGGAATGCCTCGTTTTCAGTAAAAAGAGTCTCCGGTTCACTACATCTACCATGCGAAACACAGCAGCGTTGAGCTGCTATTTTACGCTGGTATTCTGTGAGAGCATGGTCCTTCCCTGGTTGAGCCGACCCATTCTTGCTACAACTGCACCAGTAATATAGCTGCAGCATGGCTCTACCACGTAAAGCGTAAATTGTAAATCACTGCTTGACTACAATCCCAACTCACATCTTTATTACCCAATTATATCCGCCAGATGAACCTAAGCGACTTTGAGCTTGTGGAATGGCCATATTGTCATTGTCTATAATTTAGTACTTAATATGTTAGCACAATAGTAGTTCGGCAGGTTGAACTCTTTTTTTCAATGTAGTTTATAAATTACACTTGATGAAAGTAATATTTTTAATTCATTTTGCCATTGGTTCCATGGACCAGCGAGAAACCCATATATAGGCTACGTGAAAATTTTAAGTTTTCCTAAATGCTACACAGCTTAACTGAATCTTATTATGGGCTAGTATTTAACCTTCGACAATAATTGGAATTGCCATAATGTGGTTTAAATGATATTATTTGCATTGATTTAATATTGACAAGGGCTGCCACATAATTTTAACATCAGCAGTTTCCACCGACCCAGACATCCTAACTATATGAGATTGGCTCACACTCGCTCCTACACTAATGTGGGACATCACACACTAAACAACAGAATCATAAATATATGGAACAAGTTGCCTCAAGACGTGGTAGATGCTCCCTCTGTGATTAATTTTAAAAACAAACTGGACAAATGGTGTAAAGACAATCCAATTTAGTGTATTCTTAGTGTGGACTTGGATTAATATAAAACACCAACACAGTTATAGGCATATCAGCTATAATCTTCTCGCCTATTACCACATAATATTAATAATAATAATTTATCCCATACTGAAGGTTCTCATAGCTGGAGCTGTGAAATTCAATCGAGTGAGGCGGGTCCGAGATTTTGATGGCACAATGCGAGACGTTCCTGACCTGTTAGAAGTTGCCAGGACCATGATAAAAGCATTCAGGACTGGGGAGCTTGGCAAAATGGTGCTGGATATAGATCTACTGAAGCGCAGGAGCAAGAATCAAATACATCAGGAGTTATCAGCGGAGATGTGATATTCAATTATCAATTGATCTACAACATCACCTACATTGTTATGAACTAATTTTTTTTATCAAATTGATGTGGCAAAGGAACGTACAGTCTACCTGATGGTAGGTCTACTGCAGGCCATGGGTACCTGCAACCAACTTCAAACGAAGAAGGTTATGTAGATGACGTAGATGTAGATGCATTATTACCTCTGTCGGTTGTTTTTTCTTTATAGAATAATGGTGACTAATGAGCATGACCCATTCGTGGATCAACCATAATAAAGCTGCAGCAGAGTTGCAAAAAGAAGTAAATTAGTAAAGTACAAATCCAACAAATCGCTCAATAATATCATGGCTATAGGTACTAAAACAATGTTTCTTAACCTTTTAGTGATGAGGGACTATTTTACCAATTTTTGGCTTACTTAATTTTTATTGATGATGATGATTATCTAAAATTTATACGTAGACATAATATAAATTATAGTAAAGTTAATCTTTAAGTTTGTTCCATAAACAAAATACCAAAATGAATGCGACTTCATTGCGCGCCCCTTATTTTAAGGCGACATCGAAAACCGTTGAAGCGGGCTATCGCCGGACTGACCCGAGTGAAACATAATTTCTATAAATACTTCAAAAACGCTGTCATAAGGTCTAAAATTGCGGAGCGTCCGCCACGATTCAGACCGCTTAGAAATCGCTTAGAATCTTAAAATATTTTTAAAAAATTATTGATTTTAGTAATCAAAATAATGAGCAAGTAAATTACTAATATTGATGTTACGAATGTATTGGAGCGGTTCCCAAGCATATATATAGATTAAGTAATTTCGTTATAATTTCAACTATAGTGATTTTTTAGAGGTGTTTTCGCAAATAATTGTGATCGAGTCAAAATTCTACAATCGTGTTTTTGGACAAGCAAACTCAAGATAAAGACATGAATTTACCTATATCAAAATTCCAGTTTCGTTAGTCGTGTCATAATCCTATACTATTCGATGAAAGGAGGTGCATTTTCTCGCGGTGTCGCCTTAATGTAAAGTTGGTATTTACCTTCATCTCCAAAAATGTATTACATCGTTTTTTTTTTTATATTTGAGCGAAGTCTGAAGCTAGTTGGAAAGATGGTTGCATGTACTTTGTCAACCCTAGTAGCAAAATGTCATATGGTATGTATAGTAGGGTATGTAAAAAGCTAAAATGTACTAAGTTTCTGAAATTTGTAAATAAATTGTACAGTTTATAGTTTATTGAAATATTATGTAAATATATGCTAGTTATTGTGAATTGATGTGAAACTTAATAAAGATAAGCCAATGTTTCTTGTTTTTTTTTATTTACAAAATTTATATGATTATATCAATTAATAACATAATTTAAAATTAAAAAATTTGTACAACCGACTTCAGTATAAATTATTAAGAATAACTCAAAAATTATTGGTCAGACCTTGATTTATATGCGACCACACGAGAAGTACCAGCTGTCAAATAAAAAAAGAATCACACAGCAATCTGTACACCCAGTAAAAAGTTACGAGGTAACACATAAAAAAAAAACACAGTCGAATTGAGTACCGTCTCCGTTTTGAAGTCTGCAAAAAAAATTATTTCCTGCATATAATTGCTAAGACTTGGTCGGACTGCACTAATGGATGGAACATTTTTAATATTGGAGGAAATGAGCTACCTGATAACCCACTGCCACACTCTGGTCGAGTGGCATGGAAAGTAGCTAGGAAAGGAGACAGAGACGTAGTGTGGCAACAATACTCGTCATGCTCCTCGTCATGCCCATCGCTCCCTGTTTTTTTAGTTTTTTGGATGCGAGTCAAAGGACTGGTAATATGAGCGCGATTAGCCGGCCACATAATCGCGCGAACGCAATCCGAATCGAGCGCTCGTTACGGAAGCGTCGTTCTACTGCGACGAATAAATTACTCAATGAGTACACCTGTAATCTTTGTACATATAATGAATAAAAAATATTCCATTCTGCCCTATTGGCTCCGCCACACTATGCTCCTCACGCTGCTCATCGCTTTGCTCCTGGAGTTGCCGCATTGTTGCCCACCATCTCTTTTGGCGAGGATGACGACGTATATTTCTTTTTTATGACATTGATATAATTCGCTATACTAAATATTCATATAGCGCGCACGCTGCCGCTGTTTCAACATCCATTGTGTTGCAAACGCAAGCGACCTAGCTCAGGCCGACTCTTCTTAAATTTAACTTAGTATGCTCCCCCTCAGCGGCTCGTAGCCACCTGCGCCCCCTTTTCCCAAAAGAGGGTCGCTTCCGATTCGGCAGAAAGGCCTCATAAGCCAATGCCAGTCTCACAGGTGGTGTTTAGTGGGTACAATGGGGGGGGGGGGGGGGACTTAGTGTGGAGTAGTGTGTGGGCAGAGAGGGCAACATCGCGGCAACTCTATATGATATATATACTATGTACAAAGATTATAGGTGTACTCATTGAGTAATTTATTCGGAAAGAAGTTTCGGTTGAACGTGGTAAAGTTATGCTGCAACTATGTTATGGTTGTAGCACGAATGGGTTGACCACCACGACCGGGGAAGGGCCACGCTCTCACAGAATACCAGCGTAAAATAGTGTCTTAATGCTGCTGTGTTTCGTATAGCGACTGTAGAGAACCGGAGACCCTTATTACTAGATATGGGGCATTCCATTTTAGTCCTCAGAGGTAACAACGCATCTGCATATTGCTTCTTAATCGAGGATAAATGTAGATGTGTATGGGTCACAGTATCCACTTACCTTATTATTACCTTACCACTTACCTTTATTCTATAAAAAAAGAGAATATCTCTGTCCTGAAAAAAAAACTAGCGAGAAACTTCGCGGTACTTTTTTTGAATATTTTTTTAAAAGAAACCTTACTCCCACTCTAGGATTAGCATTATAGGCATTACAAATACTTGTTCCGTGTGGGATTGAAACCCGTGCTATCAACTAACTCAATGTTAAGCCACTGTGTCATGAAGCCGCCCGTCAATTTACTATTTCTGTTGTAAGATAAATATAAAACATTTAGAAACAGCACAGCAGTAAGTGATAACCCATCGCCCATGAACCTCTGCTACACCAGATACATTGCAGGTGGGTTGCCGGTCTTTTAAAGGAGTAGGCACTTGTTGAAAGTAAAGGTGGTGAGAGCAAACTGCTAGTAACGGTAAATTCTACAATGTGGACGTAATACTATACAATTCTAAAACAATATTGCTTCCACTAGAACGTGCTCAGAGAGCAGTTCTAAAGGTAGCCACTTTCCGTCCATTCATGTTTCCTACACATCAACTGTACTTGGCATGTAGTGTACTAACTGTCCGTCGGTTGTTTATCCTGAAAATCATATTAAAACAGCATACCGAACTTCCATTTAACTTAAAATCCATAGACAGGAGAAGAATGGACTTAGTTTGTGTAAACCCAAAAACCAGACACGCATTTGTGAACAAATTTTACATATTTTTAGGACCCTTTCTATATAACAAGCTCAACAAGTCACTAAAGGTATATAGTCTAAGTTATAAGGACTGTAATATAAGTGTAAGGGAATTTCTAAATAAATTAAATTACGAAGACACAGAGAAGTTGTTAGATATACTAAAATAGTTTGTATTAATTGTAGGCAATAAATAATTGTTATTTAGTTATTTTATTTATTATACAATTTAGTTTAATTATTTAAATATCTAGTGTCCTACATTATTAAACCGATTGTATAAGTGATGTCTGAAACACAGGTACTCAACCTAGTTCATGCAGGTAGCTAATATTATAAATATGAATTTTCTATCTTCTTTTGTAGATTCTACATTATTAAGCTACACATAGTTTTAATTTTATCATAGCATGTTATTTTTGTTAGACTTATTGTTACTTTATTAATTGTAATCATTTTGTTTCCTGTATGTCAACATGTGTAATCCGAAATGAAATAAATATTTATTATTATTATTATTATTAATATAGCTGCAGCATGGCTCTTCCACGTATAAAAAAATAGATTTTATTACATATTGTATTTCAGCTAAAATGGATAGTAATTATAAAAATAGATGGTTAATAAATACAAGTGTTAACAAAAAGTGAAGCCGTTATGTATGGTTTTCCTCTGAGTAATATACTCACGTATCTCATAGCGCGAAATGAATAATGTAGGTAATATTTAAGTGTAAAAGATTAAAAACACTATGAAATGAAATTAAAAAAAAATACTAATTGCATAAAAAATTTTGAAAGGTCATATTGACGAGTTGACAGGCAGTCATGAAAATTGTCAAATTCAATATCACATCCAAATGGATATAATAAAAATCAAAATAGAAATATAAACACGCCGTAATGGGTAATGCTCAATTACAGAAGCCGTAACCGTAACAGACTACTGGTTTTACCTTTAAAATGAATCCATTGGAATATTTCTATACTTTAGTGGATGTAATTCAAGAATTACGCTGGTTGGTAGACATCGCCGTTGATTCATATCCTGTTATTATGATGTCAAAGATACATACAGCATAAGATATAATTTATTAATGGCAGATAAATCTGTATATGAATATTCTATATTACCCATAACTGAATCATCGGAGTCTACATTCTACGGAACTCTCGAAGACTCATTTAATTGTATATCAAAAGGCTCAATCCCCGATACTCCAAGGTCACATAGTTCAGCATATAGCACTGACAACTGGTCAGCTATATTGTCTTACAGACCAGATTCCCATTGCTCAAGCAAAGAGATTTCAACTTCCTCTGTTGAACCGAATTCTACAACTACGTATGGTGTACCAAGCCCACCATTGAATTCCAAAAATAATACAATTAATTTAAGCGACTGTAAATCTTTGCCCTCTGCAAGCTTTAATTCTAATTCGCCGATAATATTACGGTCAAATATATCTGAAGCATTATTCCCTCCGTCTGTAGGGTCCTACGAACATAGTTGGGCTTCGAAAATGGTTCGAGTGAAATATCCTTGGAGT